TGCTTTAGCTGATCCAGAGACCCCCACAGGGTCTTTAGGATTCACTGAGATGTTTCTGTGAAGTTCTGACATACAGCTGGCCCCAAAGAAATGAAGCCTCCTTTTTCTCCTCCTCCTAGATCTTGCTTTGACAAACAGCAGCTGTCAGTGTGTCCCCTACCCCATATCTCAAGGCTGGAGAAGTATGCAGCCACCCCCTTCGCCAGCCACGGCACTGGTGTCACTGACCCTTCCTGCTGTGGCGCCAGAGAGCTTTGCCTCTCGTTTGACCCCCCAGTCCAGTTGGACGGACCAATATTAGCATCATTTAGCACCATCCCCACCCAGATCTGACACTTCTAAACTCCATCTTAGGCAGTGACATTGGCTTTGCATAGAGCATCAGGTTTGTTTGGGACCAATTAGAAAAAGGAAGAAAGCACAGCTTCATTCCTGGGTTCTCATCAACCAGCATCAGTTGAGGCCCCTCCTCTGGGAACACCAAAGGACATTTGTGTCCATGTACCAGGTTGCCTCAGTTTGTGCCAGACCCAGGTCCTCGGCTTTGTGCCTCGAGGTCCCTGACAACAGGCAGCAGCCTCCTGCCAGAAGAGTACAGAACCAGCTCATAGCCAGCCGTCAGCTTCAGCCATTTCCACTCCCCTGCTGAGAGCTCCCAGGGACATCTGGGGGCTGCTGACTCCAGGGCCCCAGGGATTGAGACAGGAAGTTTTACTCAACCCGTTCAGGCCTGTGGCCGGATCTGTGTACCGCCTGCCTTCCGCTGTGGGAAGAATACTGCTCCCTGGGCACCGTGCCGGGTGTGGGCGCCACCGGCTTCCCCAGGCTGTCAGGGCCCCAGCCGTGAGCTCCCCTGTCCCAGGGGCCTCCAGGCCCCCTTCTGCAGCCCAGTGGGGCAGCTCACAGTGGAGTCCCCTACCCAGTGCTGCAGCCCCAGGCAGTCTGGTGAGATGCAGCACTGTACTGTGTGCAAATAGTAATTGATTGTTTGTAAGAAAATGCACCTGACCTTCATGTGCTCAAGCCTGAGTCCTTAATAAGAAAAGGAACCGCCCTTGTGCTTCCTACGCCTTCCCCTAGTGACATCCAGTATGAAAAGGGGAGCGTCAAGCAAACCTCAGACCTTCTCTCCATTCCTGGATCTCTCCCTGGATCTCTGTCACCTCTGCTCTGGCCTGGAGGCAGCACAGGTGGAGAGCACAGCCAGCGGCTTGGGAAGCTTTGGGGACCCAGGGAATTCTAACCTGCCCATTGGGCTCACAGCTGGGGAACCAGTCAGTGGCGGGAAATGCAGAGGACATTCATTGGGAATCTGTGTAACGTTACTGCACCGCAGGGATAGGAAATCATTCGTCGGGGTGGGGAGGAGCCATGAAACGGGGCTGGGGCCCAGACTCGCTTTACCCATGAGACGCCTGAGGCGGACAGGCCTCTGAGGAGGGTCTGTGGTACTACTCTGCCTCCTCAAAACTAGACTGTTTTCCCTCCTATCTTTATTGGGGTGTTTTCCTCCAGTGTTTTATTATGAAAGCATCAAACATACAGCAAAGTTTGGGGGCTTTGCAATGAGCACACAGAACACCCACTGTCTGGAGTCTGCGCTTTACTGTACTTGCTCTGTCACACGTCTCCGTCCACTGGTCCCTCCTGTCCTTTTGATGATATTTCAGGGCCAAGTGAAAATACCAGTACATTTCTTTATTGGGGCTTTTCATTATACAAGCAATGCATGTGCAAACAAATTTCAAAATATATATAAAGACATTTTTCTTCTAGTCCTCCTTTCCTTCACCATCAGAGTGTATATTCTCCCAGAGAAGTTTCTGTGCCAACACAAGCATGCATGGAAGGTATCTGGTGCTTTGAGATATGGGATCATGCCCATTTACTGGTCTGCCACCTGCCACATTCTGAGTCTGAGGCTCCCTTCTCAATGGCAGGCTGATGATGTGCCATTTGCTTTTTCTGTTCTTGTTACCCTTGCAAGTGGGCCTCTGGGTTAACCTGATGTTAACAAAAAATGACCACAAATTGTCTTGGCCAGGAAGAAGAGAGTGACTTCTCTCACAGCTCAAGTGCACAGGGACTTCAGTATTGACCTGGTCCTATCTTAGGCTTTTTCCTCGGGGTTCTTGGTGGGGAGCTTTGAGGCACCTTAGCCTTCTAGGCTGTGAAGAATTCTCATTTTAGGGGTACCTGGTTGGCTTAGTTAAGCATCCAACTCTTGATCTGAGCTCAGGTCTTGATCTCAGAGTCATGAGTAGTCATGAAGCCTACTTTATAAAGTGAGGGGGTGTCTGAGTGGCTCAATAGCTTAAGCAGCCGACTTTGACTCACATCATGATCTCGTGGTTCATGGGTTCGAGCCCCATGTCCAGCTCTGTGCTGACAGCTCAGAGCCTGGAGCCTGCTTCAGATTCTGTGTTTCCATCTCTCTGCCCTTCCCCCGCTTATGCTCTGTTTCTCTCTCTCTCAAAAATACATTGAAAGACATTTTTAAAAAATTAATAAACTATGAAAGAAAAAAACTAACAACTAGAAAAAAAATTTTTTTAAAGAATCCTCGTTTTCTGGGCCCCACATGTTTTCCTTTCCGCCAAGGTCATCAGAGAGCACACAGAAACAGCAGTGGAGGGGGGCACCAAGCAGAGGGTCCCAGGCCCTGCACCACCACTCATGAAACCCCCATCTCAGGCAAGATGTTTGATTTCTCTGGCTTCTTTTTCCTCCTTTGCAGAGTGGAAGTACCACACATGCCCTGCCTCGCTCATAGGATTGTGAGGCTCAGTTGAACACACACATCCAGCCTCGGGATGTGTCTCATCAGCAGTGCTCAAGGACAGTTAAAATCTCTTCATAGTGGGGAACTGATCCTGCTCCGGGCTCTCCTTAACATCCGTAACCCGACCCTCTTGGTAGTTCTCCTGTGGTTTAGGGAGCTTCTCAGTAACCTTTGCTTCCTTCACCTCTAGTACCTGCCTTCCAGATGTTAGAGTTAACCTGGGTTCTGTCTTTAGTCTTCTTAGATGTCAGTCAAATCTCTTTATCCCATGTCTACACCCGTCACCCACGTCTCTCCTCTGAACTCCAGATTTAGACTTGAATAGACTCCCGTAGGTTTCCATTAGTTTGTTCACATGGAGATGCCTGGTCAGCACCCCTCACCCAACCCTGAACTCACTTGTCGTGCCTGTCCTCCTCCTGGGTCCCCTCTCATAGTGACGTGCACCCGCCACTCGCCCAGGTGCCCTTCTTGCCCCTGAGGCTAGTGCAGGCCCTGAATCCATTGCTCCTGCATTGCTATGTCAGCCTCCAGACTGGGCTCCCGTCTCTGGGCTCTTTCGGCCCCCTCTCCAGTAACCAGCAGAGACCAGATGTGATCAGAACGTGTCCCCAGGGCCTCCCGGTGAACCAGGTGAAGCCTAGGTGCCACAGCAGAACACGAGTCTGTCCTGGGGGAGTTGGTCCCACCTCCTCCTATGACCCCATGTCTCTCTGCAGAGGCCATAGCAAGCTTCCTGCGCTTCCCGACGCTCGGATACTGTTCCTTTGCCTGGAATGTCCTTTCCCGAACAGTCCCTGCCCTGATAAGACATCTGCCATACCCTCATACCTGGGCCTGTATGCATCGTGGGGCTTCCTAGAAATGCCCGTGCCGCCCCTTTCCGTTTTCTTGTCAGCCTCCCCTGTGAGACTAGGACTTCAGTCCTGGGACCGTGGTTTATTCGCTGACTCGCCAGTGCCCAGAATGTCACAGAAATATGATCAAGGGCTGCTGACTCAGCCCTGGTGTTCTCCCTGTTCTGCCCAGGCGTTTCCATCTGTGGCTGTGCTAGGGGCCTGTGGCATGCAGTAGCTTCCTTCCATTCATTCTCTTTTTTGAGGAGCCTTTTTCTCTTCTTTTTTAAATTGAGTTGTACAACCTAATAACGTTCAGGATGCTCACAGTGGATGGGGCAACCACCATCTCCATCTAGTTACACACATTTTTGGAAGAAAACCCTTTGCATGATGGTACTTTGACAAGGTATCTGAAATATAGTCCTCAAAGAGCCAGAGGATAGAATGGCAGTCGCCAGGGGCTGAGGGGATAGGGAAATGGGGGTTGCTATCCAAAGGGTGTGGAGTTTCAGTCATGCCCGATGAAGAAGTTCTGGAGAACTGGTGTACAATATCGTGCCTCCAGGTGGCAACACTCTGGTGTACACGTAAAAATCTGTTGACAGGGTAGATCTCGTGGTAAGTGTTCTTACCATCAAAAAAAGGGAAAAAGAAAACCCCTTGCCCATGAAGCAGTCATCCCCCGTTCCCTCCTGCCCCAGCCCCTGATCTGCTTTTTGCCTGAATTGATCTGCTCTGCACATTTCATATAATGGAATTGTTCAGTAGGTGACTTTCTGTGTCCGGCTTCTCAGCAGTGTTTTTGCAGTCCGCCCACATTGTGGCCTGCCTCGGTTCTTCATTCCTTTTCACGGCTGAGTAATATTCCGTCGGGTGGCTGGACCACATCTGTTTATCCACTTAGCAGCTGGGGGGATATGGGCTGATTCCAGCTGTTGGCTATTGTGCATGCATAAGTAGCGGCTGGCGCACCTGTCCCTTTCATTTGCTCTTGCCTCGTACCCCGTCGCTGCTTTTCCAAACTGGAACTCTGTGCAGCACCTGGTCTGTGTGTCTGGGGGACGCTCCGTTCAGGGAAATAGTTTGCCTCTGCTATGTGCCTATCCCCCCTCCCAGCCCTTTTCTGCCTCCATCCCCTGGCCCTTCGTTTGGTGATTGATACCATTTGTCTTCAGATAATTAATGTGTGGTGTTCATGTTTTGTCTATGCAGTGAGGGCCTTCAGGTCGAAGTACCCTTGGTCTTCTGTGTCGCCTACAAAGCCTTGCCCACTAGGGGACCCAGGCAGTCCCAACCAGGCCCTAGGTCCATGCCTGCCTTGTGCCACCTGTCTGCTGGTGACTGACCCTCTCCCACTCACCTCTGTCCTCCCTCTGCAGATGACGTGCTGACAAAAGACGCGGGTGAGTGTGTGATCTGCCTGGAGGAGCTGCTTCAGGGGGACACGATAGCCAGGCTGCCCTGCCTGTGCATTTATCACAAAAGGTACGAAAGGGTTGGCAGGGCCAGCTCAGCCCCATCTGAGACACCAGAGGGCTCCTTCTGTGCAGGTGGGGGAGAGAAGGACGGACCCTCGTCACTAGCCATTCTGTCCCCTCTGGTTGGGGATGACCTGTCCTCCTCACTGAGGGCTCAGGGGTCGAGGCAGAGGCCCACAGGTGGAAAGTCTGAACATGCCGAGTGCAGGATGCAGGCCTCTGGACTGATGGGGAGACCCGTGGAGCCCCCCAGGTTCAAGGCACTTAGGACCCCACCTGGAAGGTTGGTTCTGCATTCGTCTCCCTGAGCCTTATCTTCCTCTGCGGGCCCCTGTGCTCCACAGTGTGAGGACCGTCATCTGTGCCAGGGAGGCAGAAGGGAAGGGTGTGCGTGCCGCCCCTGCACCCGTCCCTTCTCCCCGGGGGGGGCTGAGGCAGGAATAGACACTACCTGTGGGGCCACAGCCCCGAGAGCCGCTATAATTAGCGGGGCTGAGATTTGTCCTCAGGCTCCAGTATGAGCCTCGTTCTTGTTTCCAGCAAGAAAGAAGACACCTCCTTACCCGAGACGGGAGGACTCTCTGTGCCATCTGCTCTCGGCTCCTTGAGTCCCAGAGCTTCTCCCGATACACGGGCTTTTCCAAAGCCCGACTCACGGGGCTGTTGGCCGCGATGCAGTTGTGCGCCTGGGACCCAGACGTGGCTGGTTTATGAGAGGCTCGAGGTTGGGTTGGGGTTCAGGGGGTGCTGTTGGCCTGGGCCCAGCAAGGATTGCTCCAGTGTCCCCAGAAGGCGCCACTCAGAACCGGAAGATGGAAATCTTTGGCTCTGGGGGAGAACGGTGCAAATTATCTACCTCATTCCTGCCTTTGAAAATTGCTTGGTGTCTGTTTACAAGTCAGAAGGCTGTTTGGGGCCATCTCTGGTCCATCTGCTTCAGGTGGGCCTTTCTCTGAACACTAGAGACCAGGGTTGCGCTGTCAGCCCCTCGTCTGGCCCTCCTAGCAATGTCCCACCACAGCTGACCAAGCCAGGCAGGGGCTGGGCGTCTCCTGAGAAGTCCCACCACGGAGGGAGCCTTGAGGCTGTCCCTTCGACAGAAGAAGGGGCTCCCCAGAGCTCAGAGCAGCGGCCAGCCCGCTGGGTCTTGGTGTTCATGCCCTGGTGCTTTAAGCCCGAGAGATGGTGGGCTCACTACCCTGCACGGCCCTCCCGCTCTCACCTTCTCCCTGGTAGCTGTTGCCTCCCTCGGGGCTCCACGCAGGCGAGGCCTGGTCCCTCTCAGGGCCACACTCCGTTTCCTGCAGTGCCCAGATCTGCCTGATCCTGTACCCATCGTGCCCATGGGCTCATGCCTCAGGCTGAGCCAAGATCCGTCCTGGTGCTCTTCTCCCTGCTTCAAAAAGTGGGTGTCTGGGAACACACTTGTTTTTTCCTGAGGTGCGAGCAGGCGAGATTTAACAAACCCCTGCTCAGAAGCCTGACCCTCGGAGAGCGCCCCGTAGGGAGCGGCCTGGTCCGCAGGTAACATGTCTCCCCTTGCCACCTCCCTGCCTCAGTTGCATAGATTCGTGGTTTGAAGTGAACAGATCTTGTCCAGAACATCCCGCGGACTGACCCTGCTGGGCTCGCTTGCTGACTCCTCTCAAAGGTGAGCCCGCGGTTGGGGGTATTCCGGGCTCAAGGCCGAGGGTCGAGTCACTCTTGGGCCTGGAGGTAGGGGAGCAGCTCGCCAGTGGTTCTGTGGGGGGCAGTGATTCTCCGGGAAGGACAGGAAATACAAACGCCCATGGTTATGAAGGAGAGCCTCAGCAGAACTAGGTTCTTTGGGAAGAGACCCATGAGTGCCAGACACCTGCAGTGAGCCTCCCCGAGGAAGGTTCAGAAAGACCCCTTTGGAATGTGCTGGTGGGAAAAACAGCAGCACGAGCTGTGGGACAGACGCCGGGTTTGCACCCGCCCCGCCTCGAGCGTGAGGGGCGTTTCAGGATCTCTGCTTCTTCGGGGACAGGGGTGGACATCACACTTACTCAACATGACAGCCCATGGGACAATAATTATCCCCTGTGGTACTTATTGGTGATCACCTCAGCCACTGCTCTTCCACTTGCAGGCCACCTCCCTCACACTCACACACACACACACACACACACACACACACACACATACTCTCTCTCTCTCTCTCTCCCTCCCGCTCATACATACTCGGTCACACTCACACGTGCACCCACATACTCTCACACTCACACACACAGTCTCCCACTCATACACACCCACATCCGCATCCTCTCACACTGTCACACACACACACACGCACGCGCGCGCGTGCGCGCGCTTCCAGGTGAATCAGCCACAGCAGGCCAGCATGACGACCTTCCCCCCCAGATGTGCACACGTGGTCCCCTATATAACCATCGAGTCTGACTGTCCATTTCTTCCCCAGGGCACCTTGCTTTTCTGCTGCCCATCCTCACCTGTCCCCCATCCCACCTGTCCCTTGTCAGTTCTGGGCTGGCACTTTCTTTTTTCTGGCAAACAGACAAAACCCCTAGAGAAACCAAAACCCTGACTCCACCTCATCTAACATCCAAAGGTTTTGGGGCGTCTCTCTCTCTCTCTCTGTCTGGTTTTTGTTTGTTTTGTCTTCCTTTGTTCTTCATTAGGTTTATTTTATTTATTCCAAGTAAACTCCCAGAACAGCTGATGATGTCAGACAAATCAGGGACATTTGCTCTTTTTACCTTCCCCTCAAAAACTGAGGACACGGGGAGAAGAAAAAGCAAGGGTGAGAGTGAGGCAGAGGGACTGGGCCGGTGCCGGAGCGGGAGCCCAAATCCCGGCGGGACGTCTGGCTTCGGGCCCCTGAGCGGAACCACAGACGCCCGGCCAGCCTCGGCGGGATGCACGCGGCCGGCCTCGGCCGACACGGCGCCACTTACGTGTTACGATCCACACAGGGACCAGCCAGCCCCCGTTCCCGAGAGGAGGCATCGGACACGGGCAGAGCTGAGCTGGGGACACCAGTGGGAACAGGGCACCCCTTCTGCACTGACTTCCAGAGAATGGTTCTCCCTTTCTCCCTGAGGACACCAAATGGATGAGAGCGAGTTTGAGAGAAGAAAGAATCAACCGCCATCCTTCCCCTCACCCCTCATCCCAGGAGGGAAAGGGCATTTTCTTTTTCACCTTTGAAAGGCGTGGGTCTGTCTAAAGTGTTTACAAAAAAAAAAAAAATTATAAAAAAAAAGTCTAGTGTCGACTGGTGTTTTCCCTCGTGATGTTTACAGATTGCTGTCTGCTGCCCAGCTCGCACCCACTCAGTGACAGGACCGAGCAGGAGCACATGGCCTCTTCCCGTGCCCGGCGCCCCCCTCGGCCCTCTCTGTCACCAACCGCTCTGCCTTGGGTGTTTTTTGGGTTTTTTTTCCCTCCATTCTTCTGGCTTGGTTTTGCACTTTTCTCACCCGGGACCCTGATATGTAACTTTATTGCCAAAAAAACAACCCATCAAGGACCTTCTCCTCTCCTTTCCCTTTTCCTCTTCCTCCCTCCCCTCCTGGTTCTGGTCAGTTCAGAGGATTTAACAGTCACAAGTGTCCTGCAAAAATGCCTGAACATTTTTCTTAGACCCTTGTGGATTTTTTTTCCCAGAAAACTTAAACAGACAAAAGACTTATTAAAGGAATATGTACAGTTACCCCTGTTTTCAGGCACTCTGTTTGAGAACATTTTAGCCATTGATGTTCACACGTGGCATCAGCCCATGCAAGATAGGTTTCTGTATTTATATATTAAAATACAAAAAAAACCCTTATAAAATGTTTAAAAAAATGTTCAAAGCTTGGGGAAAAAGCTTTCTTCATTAGTCAAGGTGTTTTGATATGGTATTAAAATGTCTAATAAAAGATGCACTGTGTGACTTTATTTTACTGAGGTAATTGTTTCACCATCAGGAAATGGGGTTTGGAGGCCTGTCCCCGACTCCCTCACCTACCTCCTTAGCCTTCCTCCAGGCCACTACTTGGCGCTACAAGAGTGTGGAGTGGTCCTCAGAGCAGTCATCCCTGGGCAGGGGGACCTGGCAGGTCACACCTGGGTCCTTCAGATTTACTGACTCTCCCAAGCATCATGGAGTCAATCTGCCATCACCTGCGGCGAGGCTGTGACAGAACTCTTCAGGAAAGATCTGCGGGGGCAAAGATCCTACAGCCCATGGAGGCTGCAAGGATGTGGATTCTTCCAGGTATTGGCCCGGACCCTCCCCCTCCCCCGCCTTCATTCTCAGCTCCCCATCCCAATTCCTGCGCTGCCCTGCCTGTTGCTCCGTCTGCATCTCCATGCTGACTCATGGGCATGCTTCATTGAGGCCCAGAAAGAGGCCCTGCTTTGGGGCTGAGCCAGCTCAGAGCCCTTGAACTAGAACCAGCCACTCAGGGCTCACAAGAGTTGGCATACCTCAAGCTGGGCGGGAAGCTCAGGGCAGGGGGTGGCGGCGTAGGCCCGGGCCTCTGTCCCTGGGCCAGACAGGCTTCTGGAGCGGCATTCCAGAGCCTCCTGCAGAGCCTGCAAAGGAAAGCTCTGGAGGGAATGCCTCTGGGCCTCTCTTGTGTTCTGTGGGCTCTCCAACCCCACCGGGGCCCTGGCTCTGCTGGCCTTTTCCGTCAGATGCTTCCTAAAGCACCTACTCTGTGCGGGGGCTTTGCATGCCAGAGGGCAAATGTGAACCGAGGCACAGGCGCACTCAGCATGTTCAGAGAAACGCTTAAGAATAATCTGTGGGGTCTGCACCTGGGCCTTAGCATCACAGTGGGGACCCCGGGGACCAACTGTCACCACGGTGGCAAGAGCATGAGCCCTAAACTGCATGTGGGCTCCTCTGCTGGGCAGAATGATCTCAGGGAAACAACTTTGTTCCTCTGAACTTCAGACTCAATCTCATGTGAGTGGGGACAAAGTCACACACCTGGGAGGCGACTGTGAGGGTCAGAGGATATGCCCGGAAGCCCCTGGCACATGCGTAGCCGACTCCGTCATAGTTCTGTCACCGCAGAGAGCACTCTTCTCTTCACAGCACCTCCTGCTTCTGCCTGGCAACTGTGTCTCCCTGTTCTAAATTTAATTCCTCCACCAAAGGCAGCCCGAAGATCTCCTTGCTTGACCCCTGGGCCCACAGGCAGAGGCCTTTATGACCACCTTGATGACTTAGGCCCTGCAGCCTTGGCAGAGCCCTGACTGAGCCAAGTGGTCGTGACCCAGTGGGGCTGGCTGGAGCCGGTCCCCACCCCCAGCGACTTCCACTCCCACCCGGCACACGGCAGCCCTCTGCTGGCTACACCGTCCTCCCGAATCACCCGATTGCAGGCCCCTTGGGCGGGGGTGGACCAGGCTAGTCCCCCTACGTCTAGGGTAGGACTAGTCTCTGTCATGCTCCCTCCCGGCAGCTCTTTCTGGGAGGGCAGGGAATCAGCCAGACCCTCGAGGTGGCTTCCACCCCCTCTCTCTGCTAAGGGCCCAGCACACTTCGAGGGGGGCTTCCTGGGCAGGATCACCTTACTGAGACCATCAAGTAGCCATTTAACAGTGTTGAGGAGTTTAGAAGGTCCTTATGCTTAGATAAGATGCTGAATTCTGCAGGTAAACAATGTTAAGAAATGTGTAACTCCATTCCAGATGGCTTCCCAGAAAGTACACATACAAGGCAAATAAGGCAGAAACAGTCACTTGAATCTTCAGGGGCTGGTATCTCAGTGAACAGTGTGCTCGTTCTCTCATCACAGTACATCTGTGCCCAGTAAGGGGAGAAGTCCCGATCGTAGGCTTCTGCCCTGGGCTTGGGGGGGAGGCAGTCCGCTGGGGGTGGGGGTGGGGGCGGGTACTAGAGCTGTCTGTCCAGAACACATGCGGCTAACACGTAGATTGTTCATGTACTGGGGTGGTTTGGGGAGAGGCAGTGAGGCATGCCTCCACACCACCCCTTGGCACGGTGACTGCTCACAGCCCAGGGCTAGAAATGTCACAGAGGAACAAACTGGGCTCAGTCCAGTGAGGAGGGGCCTCCAAGAACCAGTCTGGGCCGAGGAGTCCAGAAGGGTGCCCTCTGCCTAGAGCCTGGACAGCTGATGGGGAAACGTGGGAGGGGTCCAGGGGTTGGAGGCAGGGAAGTAGTTTAGTGGTGGCTCAAGAGAGTAGGGGTGAGGTGAGATGGACAGTCCCTTTGGTTTCCCTTTTTGCTCACCACCACCTTTATTCAGGGGCCAAGGCCAAGGGGTGAGAGATGGGCCCGCATGATAGGCTCCTGGGATGGGATTTAAAGATTGGCTTCCCGGGACACCAAGTCTCCCCCCACCTCAACCCTGGGAAGTAGGTGTACAGCAGAGAGCTGTAGGCCCTGGACAGTGGGGAGTCCTGGGTGTCTCTGCCCAGAGCAGATGCTATGGTGGTGGGCGCCCTCTTGTGGGCTTGGGAACACCTGAAGCACATGGACCAAGTGGTGTGACCAGCGATCCGCAGGGTGGGCAGATCCTGACTTTGAGGCGGAGGGGAAAGCTAGTAACATAACACATCACACCATAGAGAAACATAATACAAGCAGAATAATTTCACTTCCGTTTCCATTGATTGGCAGCAGCCGCCTGAAGAACATGTTCAGAATGTTCTTGGGCCCAGTCCAGGCTCATGTTGGCCATGGCCAAATCCTCTGGCTTTGGGCTTCTCACAAACAGCAGTTGGGACAGGGACCTGGATCCCTGAAAGCGACCTTCTGTAGTGTAAGCACCACCCCCTCCCCAGACTGCAGTAAGTCCGAGGACAGGCCCAGAACCAGGGATGAGGGTATCACTGGCCACAGGACAGAGAACCTGAAGGAGGTGGGGGAGGGCAGACACAGGAGGCCACTCGTAGGTGCTGCCTGCTTGTCTCCAGACTGCTGCAAATGGGGCTCTGGTTCGCTTTAGGGGCCTAAGGAAGCCTATCAACGTGGAGTGGGAGATCTCTTCCCACCCCAGGGAGGAGTGTTCCTGTCGTCAGGCAGGTGGAGTCAGGCTAAGGGAGCTGGCCGCCCGCAGCAGCGGGGCTCAGACCCAGGGGAAGGCAGGCAAGGCCCTCTGCAGGTCTAGGTGGAGGCGAACTGTTCTGTGACAAGAAGAAAGGTTCCAGAACAGGAGGCTCCACTGTCTGGGGGCTTGTGGGCTTGCAGGCCCTCACAGCACCTTGCCTGGGTTCATGAGGCCTTGGGGATCCAGCATGGCCTTCAGCCGCCGCATGGTCTCCATGCCCACGGCGCCCACCTCCTCCTGTAGCAGCTGGCGCTTGCCCAGCCCAATGCCATGTTCCCCAGTGCATGTCCCATGGAGTGCCAGCGCCCGCCTGGTGGGGGGGGGGGATGCAATGAAGAGATTCTCAGCAGTTGCTCCTCCCACCAACCCCCAGTCGCCCTCCCTGGGCTTGCTCACACCTGCCCAGCTGTTCTGAAAAGGCCTTGACTCTATGCAGCTCCTCGGGGTCCTCTGGGTCCACCAGCAGGATGCAGTGGAAATTGCCGTCACCCACGTGTCCAACGATGGCTCCTGGGGGCCCAGAGGACAGAGCTGCTGCCTGGGCCAGCCCTCCCGCCACCCACCCCCATGGCGCTCCAGCAGTGGGCACGCGGACCTGTGAGTCCCTGGGCCTTCAGGTCCTCCTTGGTCTGCACCACGATCTCTGGCAGCCGGGAGATGGGCACGCACACGTCGGTGGAATAGCCCTAGGTCGTGGTAGGTTTTTTAGATTCTCCTCCGACCCCCAACCCTCTGCCAGCCCGGAGGTTAAGAGGTCATTGTGGTCAAGGCTAAGAACAGGTCAGAGGAGGGTTGGCCTCACCCATAAAAAATAGCTGCTTTTCTCTAGGCCTGTCCACCCAGACAGCTGGCCAGAGGGGGCTCTCCGCCCTGCCTGCAGAGGCCATGAGCCCCGCCTCGCTCCCTGCCTGGCCCGTATGCAGGACCCCCAGCCGCCCACGCCGCCTAGCCTGAGCTCTGACTCCCAGTCTCCCCTTGCAGTCAGCTGACACCTTCCGCTTTGTCATCTTTCTCCACGTGGCCTCTCCTCAGTGTCCACAAACCCTAAGAGCACCCTCTCTGTGCCCATGCCCAGGGCCTGTTCAGGACAGGGGTTCCCTCCGGAGGGCTTGGCAGACAACTACTTTCCCGTGGGACCGTGTCTGAGTAGCAGCCAGGTTGGGGCAGTCCTGCCCCCTGTGGGTCTCAACCTGCTGCTCTGGACAGCAGGGTGGTGGACCGAGCAGAGTGCTCCACCTGGTGCTCCACCCCAGCCCAGCTCACCTTGTAGCCCGGCCGCAGGGCCAGGACTGCATACCAGGCATTGTGTCGCGCTGCCCAGAGCCGGCTGCGCTCCTCAGCCTCCTTGGCAGAGGAGAAGTGGAAGGCTCCATTGTGCTGGGTGATCTCCTCTGCAGGGGTTGGCAGGTTACTCAGGGCCAGCCTGTGCCCCCCTCCCCACAGCACCCCAGCACACCTGCCAGCTGTAGCTGCTCAGCCAGGGCCTGCTCAGAACCATGGAACTCGAGGAAGAGTGTGGGCGCCACGGAGCAGTTCAGCTGGCTGTGCCTGTTGCAGGCGTCCATCGTGACGTCATCCAGAAACTCTGGGGCCAAGGAGAGGGCAGGTGAGGTGAAGCCCAGACTTCAAGAGGCACCTCTTCCAGAGAGCCCACCCAGAAAGCTCAGTCCCGGCTCACCAATGCGCGCCACGGGCACTGCAGCCTGGAGGATGTGAACAGTGCTGTCCACGGCTGCCTGGACACTGGGGAACGCACAGGTGGCGACCACTGTGGCCTCAGGGGCAGGATGCAGACGCAGAGTGGCAGCTGTGATGAGTCCTAGTGTCCCCTCGGAGCCCACAAAGAGCCCTGTGAGGTTGTAGCCAGCTGCGCTCTTCCTGGGCCCCGGGGACACAGCAGGCAGGTGAGCGCCCAGGACGTGAGGCCACGGGTGTCCAGCCACAGGCCTGGTATGGAAACCCAGCACTGTCCCCCAGGCCCCTGCCCTGTAGGGAGCTGGCCCAGCCTGCCCGGGAGCTGGCCTGGTGCAGGCAACCTTCAACCCTGGCCCATGAGACAGGACTTTTAGACTCCTCAAAAGCCTGGCCCACCCGTCCAGGAGCCCGCACTGCCGCGCGCAGAGGACGCTCACCGGAAATGACGGCCGCGGCCTGCGGTATGAAGCACCTGGCCGCCAGGCAGCACCACCTCCAGGTTCAGCACGTTCTCCCGCATGGTGCCATAGCGCACGGCATTGGTGCCCGAGGCCCCGGTGGCCACCATGCCACAGAGAGAGGCATCAGCACCTGGGTCTGGAGGGCAGAGTGCAGGCAGAAGGCAGCCTAGGGCAGGCACCCAGGGACAGAGTCCCCTCAAGCCCCAGACACAGCCCTGCCACCAGGGAGCCCTCAGGGCCCCGGGAAAGGGCTTCAGGTTTCAGCCTACCCACGGGAAACCAGAGGCCACTGTCCCGCAGATGGGTGTTGAGAGTTTTGTGGGTGACGCCTGGCTCCACCACCACAGAGAAGTCTTCCAGATTCAGCTCCAGGATTTTGTCCATGTGGGTCAGGTTGATGCAGACACCACCCTGGGAGGAGGTTGGGGGGGGGGGGGGGCAAGGGACCAGTCGACCTCAGTCTCCTGGGACCCAGGCCACATTCCACGGGATCCCCGTCTCGAGGCTGACTTCCTGGCAGCCAGACCAGAGCCCGGGGATGGCAGGTAAGGCAAGGCGGGCTGGAGGCAGCTACAAAGGTGACAAGGGGGAGAGAGAGCCAGAGCCAGGCTGGGGGAGGGGCCTGCTTACCTGCACCGCACACACTCCACCCTCAACCCCAGTGCCGGTGCCAAATGGGATGATGGGCACTCCTTGGCTGTAGCACAGGGCTGCCAGCCGGCTGACCTGCTCCACATTCTGGGGCCACACCACGGCATCTGGAGGTTGGCACCTAGAAAAAGACCCTCAAGCAATTTCAGGGAGTGTGGCACCCTCTGGTCCTGCTCACCTCCAAGGAGCCCAGAGGTATCACAGGGCCTGAGGCTGCACAGCAGGAGAGGGATGGGTGTGGTGACGAGGTAGAGAATGCCAGAGCCCCCCAGAACAGATGGGTGGGGGAGAAGCCAGCCCAGGACTCTCACTCCCAACCCCGGGGCTCTGATGGGGGAAGGGGCCCCCACACCTGTGCATGGACTCATCGTGACCATGCTGCTCGCGGACGGCGGCAGCAGTGGACACATGGGGGCTCCCCACGACTGCTTTCAGAGCCTCCACAAAGCCCTTGCTGAGCTCGCCCTGCCGGGAAGACACACACTGCCAGCAGTCGCTCAGAGACACCTGTGCCCACAACCCTGCCCCGGTGAAGATGGGTCTGGAGTGGAGGAGGGGCTGCCAGCACCTCTGGCCTCCCCTCAACCCCGGCCCCACCCCCCACTACACCCCCCCAGGGTCAGCATAGCTAGGCCTTGCCAGTGGGGCCCCTGGAAGCAAACCCCCTCTACAGGAATGCCCCTTTCCAAACAGAACCTTCGGGCTCAGTGTTTGACTTCGGAAAAAACCACCTGGATAAAATCAGGAACCAGATTCACTCTACAGAAAGGAACATCACAGGGTTCCAGCCAGCCCAGCCTTGGCTTGGAAAGGTTACTAACGTCCGCCCTCTCTCCAAAACTGCCCCAGGCACAGCAGCGGCACGGAACTTGATGAAGGAAGGATGGGAAGGGAAAGCCCCACTGCCTGTTAACTGAGGCACCCCTTAACCCCACACCCAGGGGCATTGTTTCGGATGTCTGGACATTTGTGAGCCCCAAAGAGGACGCCCTGGAGCCCACAAGCCTTTCATTTGACACCCCCAGCTCCACCTGTGGCAGCTGGGGGGACCGCGGCCCTTCTCACTCAACACCGACCTTCGGCACAGAGTGAGCCCAGTGATCCTCAGCTCAAGATCACAGGGTGCTGGCGCAGCACGGAGCCTGGCATAAACCTGGAATCTGGGCCCCCCACCTGTAGAGGGCTTCCCCCCCAACTACCTGAGTCCCCCTGGAGCAGTAACCCCTCCGGGGGAACAGCCCCCAGATCGCAGCAGCCCGGAGCAGACTGGCCATAGCTGTGGGTCACGGGCACTGAGGCCACCCCAGCCCATTGGCTGTGCAGGGAGTGGGACTGCTTAAGGTGGTTCGGCCTTAAGGTGGCCCTGCCAGACCTTGCTGAGTCAGGTATGGCTGCAGGCATAGGTCCGCGCTTCCAAAGCAGAGGTGAGGCTTACTTGACACAAAGTGGGAGAGGATAGCAACCTCTCTCTGGCTTAAAGCTCTGCTGTGGCTTCCCTTGGACTTTCCAACAAAGGTAGACTCCTTGCCATGGACTTAAAGGTCCTGCTAATTCCTGCTGACCTCTCTATCAACCCCACTTCTTTCCAGTCTTCTCTTTGGTCTCAGTTCCAATTTCCGTTGGGGTTCCTGTATCCCCTGAGCTCCAGCTCCGCTCAGGGCCTTGACACACAGCTTCCTCTCCCTTACCCTGCAAGTCTGCAAGTCTCAGTCAGTGTCACAGTCAGAGGAGGCTTCGAGCAGGGCCATGAGGAGGGAAGAGCAGGGAGGCCCTCTGGGGATGGGATGGAATAGGGCAGTGAGGCAAGCCAGGAAGCCTCCCTGGAAGAGGAGAGCTAAGGATGAGCAGTAGCTCACCAGCTAAGTGAAGGAAAAGACAGCTGTCCTTTCATCTCCGCCCTCCCACTGGGTGGATTTCCTAGCCATCCTGCAGCGATGTGGCTGCTGCTCTTGAAGCTCTTCCAAGCTCGGTTTTCCTTCCACAGCAAATTTGGAGAAGCATGTTGCTAACATTACTAAGATAAAGCTATTTCCAGCTTTGTTTTTCTTCTCAATTGAATCATGAATACAAACTCCTACTTGGGTCCTTCTCCCCAGCCACGTTTGAATGAAATCGCATTTCCACTCTCAATGTGCTGTTTAACTGGCTTGTCTCAAAAAAAAAAAAAAAAAAAAAGGTCTGTTTTACAGTTCGGTAGTTCAACTCAAGATCCAGTGAAAGTCCACAGTCCACACAATGCGTTTGGTTAACATGGCTCATAAATCTCTCTTTTTTTTTTTAAATATTTTTATTTATTTCTAGGAGAGAGAGAGAGACAGCGTGAGCAGGGGAGGGTCAGAGAAAGAGGGAGTCACAGACTGAAACAGGCTCCAGGCTCTGAGCTGGCAGTCAGCACAGAGCCCGACGCGGGGCTCAAACCCACGAACCGCAAGATCGTGACCCAAGCGAAAGTCGGACGCTTAACTGACTAAGCCACCCAGGCGCCCCTCATAAATCTCTTTTAATCTCTACCAGTTTCCCACCACTCCCCCTTTATTCCATGACACTTATTTGTTAAGGAAACGGGGTCACTTGCTCTGTAGAATTTTCCACATTCTGTATTTGGATGATTGCATGCTTGTGGTATTGTTTAATTTATTTCTCTAGTCTCTATATTTCATGTAAGTTGTTAGATCAAGATGTGGTGCTGTCCACTACAGCTTTCTGTACTGATGGAAATGTTCTGTATCTGGGCTTCCATTAGCCACCCACGGCTAAGGGTCCTGGAGGCATCTGTGGTTGGAGGAGAGATGCCAGGGAGAGTTTGTAATGAACCCTAAAAGAACCACGGTATAGATCCCTAAGGTTTTGAGCAGGGCCGTGACGTTTGCAACAGAAGGCAATACACTATTCAAATAAGTGCCCCTGGCCCACTACTAGGTCCTGGTTAAGATGGTGGGAGTGGCCACAAGACATCAAGTGGCCATGTGGCCGGCCAGAGTTAGCCATCATGAACTTTATTCTATCAGACTCACTGTCTTTTATAAAGTCAGGTGAGTCTGAAACAACTCGTTACAATAGACAAAAGGGGAACAGACAAAATTGGGCAGAAGCAGGACCAGAGGGCAAAATAAGCTGTATGGGTAGGTGGCTCGGGTCCCCATGTCACCCACCCGTTGCTTGTTCAGCACCTTTCCATCAGCTCACACCTGTGGCCATAAGGGGGAACTCTTAGGACCAGCCGATAAAAGAGGGGAAAGTTCAAGCTTGATTCATAAATGGGTTGGTTCAATATGAGAGTGTAAGCTCACAGGGGTGCACTGCTGCTTCACTTAGGGGTAACTCTGAAATCCTCCCATTTGGCAGCGCTCCAGGTCATGCAGCTGATCAGCCCCTTTTATAAAAAGAAAAGTGACCCAGGAGAAGAGTAGACACAAGCTCATGGGCAATGGTGAATGGCTTGGTTGCACAGTCAAGGGCATATGCAGAGAAAGATGGGGAAATCGGGGCCTGAGATTTGGAGAAGAGGCATGTAGATGGATCTCTAGGAGTAAGCACAAAGTCGCACATCTATCACATGGCAACGCCCACCACAGAGCATCTGCCATGGAAAAGACCGAACAAAGCATACGGCGTGAGTTTGCCAGCTGTCATTGGCCAACCTCTTTCAGTGACCACGCCAGTGCTGGCACGATGGCAGTGGGGACAGATGCAAATCATGGACTCACCAGCATGGCACCCACTCACTAAGGCCGACCTGGCTACTGCCACCTCTGAGTGTCCACCCTACTACAACACTGAATCCCACACACAGTACCATTCCTCGAGGAGACCAAGCAGCCACTTGGTAACAAGCCAATTACATTGGACCTCTTCCACTCTGGAAGGGGAGCAATTTATCTCAGTTGAAATCCACACAACACATATTATGGGTATGCGTTTGCCTCTCATGCCTGCATGGCCTCAGCCAGCACTATTGTCTGAAGGCTCACTGAGTATTTGATCCCCCCATCACAGTAAACCACATAACATCACCTAAGGCCCAACAACCCATTTTATGTATTTATTTACTTATTTGGTCAGGTCAGAGGCCACTGACCTTACAGAGCAATAGGTGGCATGACCTTTGGGAGGTACAACTGAGGCACCAGCTTGGAGATGCATCTATTCAACCATAGTTCTAGAAGAGGAAGGTACTTTTATATAACTAGCAGATAAAAGGTGAGTATCAGGGGCGCCTGGGTGGCTTAGTCGGTTGGGCGTCCAACTTTCGCTTAGGTCATGATCTCGCAGTTCGTGGGTTCGAGCCCCGCGTCGGGCTCTGTGCTGACTGCCAGCTCAAAGCCTGGAGCCTGTTTCGGAGTCTGTGTCTCCCTCCCTCTCTGACCCACCCTTGTTCACGCTGTCTCTCTCTCTCTCTCCTAGAAATAAATAAAAATTAAAAAAAAAAAAAGGTGAGTATCAAAATTATTTTTTTAACTTTTCCTTTTGAAATAATTTTAGACTTAACAGAAAAGTTGCAAAAATAGTACAGGGGGGTCCTATATACCCTTAACCTGATTTTCACTGATGTTTACATTTTATATAGCCATAGTACAGTTGTTAAAACTAAGAACTAGTAAAATATTAATTGGTACAGTTAGAGAATTGGTACTTTACTAAACTACAAATTTGATTTCACTAGTTCTTCCATGAGTCCTAGTTTGAGGTGGGTTTTGTTTGGTCCAAGGTGTACTCATCATCTCACACTGTATTTAGTTGTCTCTGCTTCTCTGTCTCCTATAATCTGCGACAATTCCTTAGTCTTTCCATGTCATCTGACCTTGACATTTTGAGGAGTACTGGTCAGTTATTTTATTGAACGTTCTTCAATTTGGGTTGTCTGATGTTTTCTCGTGAGTAGGTTGAGGACATGCATTTTTGGAAAGAATGCCACAGAGGAAATTTGCTCTTCTCAGTAAACCACATCAGCAGTTTAAGATGTCAATATGTCTTCTGAGCAGTGACATTAACCTTGAGCACTTGGTTTCGGTCATGTCTGTGGGGTGTCTGCACTGTGAAGTTACTATTTTTCTCTTTTTAAAAAAATTTTTTTTTTAATTTCTAGGAGAGAGAGAGAGAGACAGCGTGAGCAGGGGAGGGTCAGAGAGAGAGGGAGACACAGACTCTGAAATAGGCTCCAGGCTCTGAGCTGGCAGTCAGCACAGAGCCCGACGCAGGGCTCGAACCCACGAACCGCGAGATCATGACCTAAGCGAAAGTCGGACGCTTGACCGACTAAGCCACCGAGGCGCCCCACTATTTTTCTCTTTTTAATCAATACATATATTGGGGTAGATACTTTAAGACTGTGCAAATATCCTGTTTTGCCTCACTTTCATCCACTATCTTTAGCATCCATTGGTGGATCTTGTCTGCAATAGTTGTTATTGTGGTAATTGTGTCTCCTATTGGTGATTTTCTACTTCTCTTATTCCTTCTATATTATTTAATTAGAATTATTCTCTAATAAAGAGCCATCCATTTTGCCTTATTTATTTACTTACTTATTTACATATTACCAATATGGATTCATGGAAATTTATTTTATTCCATAGGTTATAATCTAATACCGTCATTATTTTGTTGCTCAGTTCCGGTTTTGGCCACTGGAGGCCTCTGTCATAGGTTTCTCTGCCCTTTAGACTAGCCCGCACCTTTTTTTGAGCACCGTCTTACTTTCTACTACTGTAAGATGCTCCAGGCTCATCTTGTCTTTCCCCTGCCCAGACCAGTAATCAACCACTTTTCTAAGGACTTCTGCTTCATTTTAGTGGAGAACAGTAGTATTTGGGACCTGGGATTTGGGTGTTAGATGTACTTTAAAACTCAACAAAAGAAAACAAAAAATGTGATTAAAAAACAGGCAAGGGAGCCTGGGTGGCTTAGTCGGTTAAGTGACCAACTTCATCTCAGGTCATAGTATGGTGGGTTGTGACTTCAAGCCCCACATCGGGCTCCGTGCTGAGAGTTCGGAGCCTGGAGCCTGCCTCAGATTCTGTGTCTCCCTCTCTCTCTGCTGCTCCCCTGCTCACGCTCTGTCTCTGTCTCTCAAAAATGAATAAATGTTTATAAAAAATTAAAGATAGACAAAAGATATGAACAGACATTTCACCAAAGAAGACATACACATGAAAAATAAGCATATGAAAAACTATTGAACATCACCTGTCCACACAGAATTGCAAGTTAAAACAACAAGATGCCACTACACACCTATTAAAATGACTAAAATCCAAAAAAAAAAACTGACATCAAATGCTTATAAGGGCACAGAGCACCAGGAATTCTTACCCGTTGCTGGTGGGAATGCAAAATGGTACAGTCACTTTGGAAGACAGTTTGACAATTTCTTACAAAGCTAAACATAGTCTTACCATATGATCCAGCTATCATGTTCCTAAGTACTTACCCAATCGAGTTGAAAACTTATGTCCCTACAGAAGTCTGCACATGAATGTTTATAGCAGCTTTATGCATAATCTCCCCAAACTAGAAACAACCAAGATATCCATCCAAAGGTGGATGGGTAAGCCAGCCATAGCCCATCAATACAAGGGAATATTCGTCAGCTACAAAAAAAGAAAGGAGCTATCACGTCACAAAAAGACATGGAAGAATCTTAAATATATATCGCAAAGTGAAAGAAATCAGTCTGAAAAAGCTACATGCTGTATGATTCCAACCATGTGACATTCTAGGCAGCAAAAAGACCAGTGGTTGCCAGGGATTTGAGCTGCAGAGAATGAATAAATGAACTGCAAGGGGTTTTTAGGGTGGTAAAGCTATTAAGGATTCTACTGTAATGGTGGATACATGACTTTATGCAATGTTCAAAACCTATAGAAGCTTTACGACACCAAGAGTAAACCTTACCGCAAACAAAAAAATTTTTTGCAACTGTCCTCAGTCTTGTTTTTCTTTTCTTTAATTTCCTTTTTTAAATTTACATCCAAGTTAGTTAGCATGTAGTGAACAGTGATTTCAGAAGTATTCCTTAATGCCCCTTAGCTAT